GTATCACTGTGCTGAGTCAGCAGTATCACTGTGCTGAGTCAACAGTATCACTGTGTGCTGAGTCAGCAGTATCACTGTGCTGAGTCAACAGTATCACTGTGCTGAGTCAGCAGTATCACTGTGCTGAGTCAGCAGTATCACTGTGCTGAGTCAACAGTATCACTGTGCTGAGTCAACAGTATCACTGTGCTGAGTCAGCAGTATCACTGTGCTGAGTCAACAGTATCACTGTGTGCTGAGTCAGCAGTATCACTGTGCTGAGTCTGCAGTATCTCTGTGCTGAGTCAACAGTAACACTGTGCTGAGTCATCAGTATCACTGTGCTGAGTCAGCAGTATCACTGTGCTGAGTCAACAGTAACACTACTGAGTCAGCAGTAACTGATCAACAGTAACACTGTCTGCTGAGTCAGCAGTAACACTGTAATGAGTCAGCAGTAACACTGTCTGCTGAGTCAGTATTAACAATGTGCTGAGTCAGCAATAATACTGTGCTAAGTCAGCATTAACACTGTGCTGAGTCAGCAGTAACACTACTGAGTCAGTAGTAACTGAATCAACAGTAACACTGTACTGAGTAAGCAGTAACAGTCTGCTGAGTCAGCATAAACACTGTGCTGAGTCAGTATAAACACTGTGCTGAATCAGTAGTAACGCTGTGTGCTGAGTCAGCAGTAACAATGCATGCTGAGTTCGCAGTAACACTGTGCTAAGTCAGCATTAACACTGTGCTGAGTCAGCAGTAACACTGTCTGCTGAGTCAGCAGTAACACTGTCTGCTGAGTCAGCAGTAACACTGTCTGCTGAGTCAGCAGTAACACCAAGCTAATCTGGACCCAAAGTTCTATGAAAAGAACTCAGACAGAACCTGCTAATCAAAGATTAGATCTACTGATACCTGGGCTCCCATAGGTTCTGATGGTGTGTGAAGACCTCTGAGAAAACCAGACCAGTTCCACTGGCTGCAGACCTGCTGGACAGATCCTAAACACACACACACACACACACACACACACACACACACACACACACAGGTTATAATTAATCAGTGTGAGCAAAGCCTCACCCCGAGAGAGCACCAGGATCTGACCTTTGAGAATAAATAAGGAAAAGTTTGTATTGTTCCTAAACCGTGAGCCAGCAGTAACAAAAAGCTGAGTCAGAATTAATAATGTGATGAGTCAACAGTAAGACTGTGATGTGTCAGCAGTAACAATAAGCTGAGTCAGCATTAACATTGTGATGAGTCAACAGTAACACTGTGATGAGTCAGCAGTAACACTGATAAGTCAGCATTAACAATAAGCTGAGTCAGCAGTAACACTGTGATGAGTCAGTATTAACACTGTGATGAGTCATCATTAACAGTATGATGAGTCAGCATTAACATTGTGATGAGCCAACAGTAACACTGTGATGAGTCAGCAGTAACAAAAAGATGAGTCAGCAGTAATACTATGATGGGTCAGCAGTAACACTATGATGAGTCAGCAGTAACAATGTGATGAGTCAGCAGTAACACTATGATGAGTCAGCAGTTACGCTATGATGAGTCAGCAGTAACACTGTGATGAGTCAGCAGTAACGCTGTGATGAGTCAGCAGTAACGCTGTGATGAGACACCAGTAACGCTGTGATGAGTCAGCAGTAACGCTGTGATGA